TACACTGCTGAGGGGAGCAGCGGGTGGGTCAGGAGAGGTCTGCCACACCATGTGGTCATCTCCGGGGCAGGCGGGAATCAAACTCCTGCGGAAGCGGCTTTAGATTCTCAGTGCTGTGCTTTAACCCGCTGCGCCACCAGGAGGGCCCCAAGGGTGGAATTTTAAGTGACATTTTTCTTGCTTAACTACATCTTCTAGATTATACTTAACAGTGAATATGTAAATAAATGACTATGTGTGACATATTCTCTACTAACTTTTGTGAAAGTTATCCATGATGTGGTGTTTTGTTACTACCAGAATGAGCAATCAATACTGGGAATTATTCTGAGGTGAAGCAAACTGCTACAAAGATATGAAAATGGGTCTTGAGATCTAATTGTTTAGAAAGTATTTTCCCACATTTTGTATTCTACAATAGTAATTAATAGAAAGTATTTTCTCACATTTCATATTCTACAATAGTAATACATAGGATAGCAAAAGGATGTGGCCATCTTTTAATCATCTCTTTCATATTTGGAAATAGGTAACACATTTTGTTTTCCATTGAGAAAAGGATACATAAAATAATTCTGATTTCCCTGGTGTTAGAAATATATAATCAGTGATTTTATTTCAATTTTCTGTGTCCTAGATCATCATTATGAGTTTTTCTGACTCTTTTCATTTAGGTGCTGTACCATAGTAGGGAAATCTTCCCTCTATGTATAGAAGCTAGTTGATTATTTTCCAGTCCAGTGTGGAAGACAGTTGTTCATATCCAACAATTTAGCAAGTTATTTGTGTTTAAATCATGAATTCCAAACATGTCTACATGCTTATGCTTCCAGTGAGCACCAAGCATTGCACACCTACATACTCAGCACTGCTTGTAGCTATGATTTCAAAGAATTGATGACTCCATAGTTGCCTTGGAGGAATTGTTTGGTGGAAGAGGTAGGCATAAGTTTAGTTTTCAGCTGATTCAGATCTATTAAGTTTAATACTTACGATTGCTGGAAAGAGTACAATTTTGGCACCTTGTTTGTCCTAGAAGCCAAAAAAGTTTATATAATTTTCTTGCTTTCATAATGCAAAAAAATTTCTATTTAGAAACTGAGAATTTTTTCAGTAGTTTTCTTACTGATTGAATAGTAATGGTATATTTTGAAATATTTTGCTAAAAATAACTTTAAGATTAAAGGATAATTTATAAAGTGTCAGACAGCAAAAATAA